GGATGATGGGGAGGGTGCCCTCCACCCCTCTGGCGTGGATCCATGTCTGAGTAGGATGATAGCTAAGGAAACTACTGTGCAGATCCAACCCACTCTACTGAGATACCTGCCTTACAGTGTGAACTCTTATTGAAACAAGGCATGAACTTGGAAGCATCACGTACACTGTATGTATCTTGTATATATCTCCATAGTTTTGGCCCCCATCAGAGCTCTGTAATGAAACCCTTGGTATTTCACACCTTTGGTCACACATTTAAATCAGCTTTTTTCGCTCTGCACTGTTGCAGAAAAACCTTCTGAGAGTTTTGTTGACCGTAAACTGTATTCCAAATACTGATTGCTGCCAAGTAGGGTGTTTGAAAGTACGTCATATACATGTATATACTCAATAATGCACACTGAAACGCATTATTTCCAAAATACGGTGCTTTTTAGGTGAACAATTCATACAAAGTGCATGTCCTCTCAAAAGGGCCTTTACAGCGAATTGGGAAACATGAGCGAATGCACATCTCCAGGTCAGGTCTGTTATCATTCAAAGCCTGACAAACAAGGGTAATCCCTAAATCCTACTGTGGTACTCTCGTCATACATAGAGCTTTGCCAAGTCACACACACACACACTCGCCGATCCTTTAATCCTTACATTTGCTTGCAAGTACCACAAGATGCAAATCAAAGTGATGACTTTTCCAGAGGTGAAATTTTCCTGCCATTGAGAACTGAAAATTGACTTATCCCTTCTGTCTAAAACCATTTGAGTGTTGTTGGTAATTTTTTTATCATTGCACTGTTGAGACCCTACAAGGCTCTGAAGTACAAATAACAGCACTGATCAATTCAGTGTGATGTCATTGTAGCGGCAAGCAGTTTGCATCTTATCCTTGTTCAGCCACTTGACGTTACCAGCCCTCTTCCCTGATGTTATTATGGCTTGTACATTTGCAAAAAGTTGATTACTCATCCACAATATAGAATCTGTAAACATCATAAATAAAACCCCTTTTTCATGTGGTGATGACATTGGTTGCAAGAAAAACAGTTGAGGTGTTGTATCTTTTAGAAGCAGATTCCTGTGAAGGGAGGTAATTTTTGTAGTTTATCAAAGTTGATTGAATATTATAATATGCAAACCCTCTACATTCATGACAGTAGTTTATTAACATCGGAAGAACATGGAGAGGTTTTAGGAGTATTGCAAAATGAATATCATCGAAAATGGTTACAGGATAAAGGGTCTGCCAAAGGTTTATTACCCTGAATGGTAAAGATGTCCCAGTTTGTGGCATAGTAACTGCACATACATTGCAAGCTTTAGACTGTAATAAAATAAAAACCAGCATACTGTCTCCTTGAAAAATCGCTCAGGTGTCTCAAAATACAGTAATTTGCTCCCCGGTTGCCCTGTTTGTCTGCTCTCAGTATAAACAGTCCAGTGGGAAACCCCCTTTTTTAAAAACTAATTCTTACCATACAGAAGCCACTTGTAGCTTCCTTTGTAAATGGGCAATTAAGCTACAGCTTATGAGTGAACAGCGCTGGATCAGTGCACAGCAAACAATCCAAGACTGTACGAAACATGATGCACCAGTCACTTTATTTCAACAATATCCACTTTTCGTGCCCAGGTTTTTTTATTCCAGAAAAGCCCTTACCATACAAAACTGCCCATTTATTAAATCCAGTGGAATTGCCTCTGTTTCATTCTCGCAGTGTATGTCCATTGTCAGACTTGTCAGCAGTGCGGGTTACCAGACCACCAGTGTGAAAGACTTAAGGACAAAGTGGGGTGCCACATATGTGGCTCGTCGGATCACAAGAGGAGAGAATGCCCAGAGAAATTCAACAAAGTATTCAGGTAAGACAAGGCATACAATAGTACCTACAAAACTGTCTTTGGTTAGGCCTACAACATGTTATTTACAGCCTGTAGCATAAAAAAGGTTTGCAGCCCCACAGCACATCTCGTACCTCGTACAGCACAACCTTGTACCCAAGATCATGCGGTGGAAATGATGCTTTCAACCTTCATTGGAAAGATCAAAGTAATGCAAATGCACCTGTTGGGTACCCCGTACATGATGATGCATCATCCATGCACCACAGTGAAAGTCATTAACTTTCTCGTGACCCAGTACATGCATGTTTGTAGCATATCACTGGATTGCTTTTTAACCAATTTAAAGTTGTTATCTGTTACCGTGGTATTACAAAAAATACCTGTTGTATTCCTGCCTACATATCAATTATGCATGCCGGAAGTTTGCTGGGCCAGTCCGAAAATGCTGCTTTTTCCATCTTGCAAATTGGAAGTATGATGGTGAATTTAACCTGTTTTTTTTCACAGGAGTGTTCTAGAGACTGATAACCTAAGCTAAAGCCTGGCACTCAGTTTAATGTTGCCAATATTTCTTGAGCCTTTTTGTTTTTCTTGTTTTTTGAAACGGTATTTAGCCTACAACTCTTCTTTTTTTGGGGGGGGGGGGTGTAATGATTCTTTTACACCTTAAAAGTGTTGACAGTCCTTTTGAGAAACATTTCCATTTGGCACCTTGGCTGAAGGCCTTTCACATTCAGCCACCTGGGATTCATAGGGTTGCATCACAGGGTAACGGAATTAACAGCTATTGGCAACGTGGACATTTGGGACTTTCACAAACTGGCTTTTAGCAACTACAACACACCGATGAAAACAACTGGAATGAGCTGGAATGAGCTGCTCTTAACAAACACCTTCCTCTGGTGACCTGTTCAGCCTTGTCGCACTCTTCATGGTATTTAAAAGGTCACATGTGTACAGTTATTCCCCAGTTGCTTTGCTCTTTTGTCCCTTGCACAATCCTCACTCTCAACCTCAGATTTGGCAGTCCTGAAGTTGTGATGTCGTTGCTATGTTACAAAGCCTCCACTGTCACTCTAGTATGGAACGTGTAGACTTCAGTCGCTGCCTTGTTGGGCATAGGCAAATATGGCTATGACCGAATTACTAAGCTACAGCGTGTGAGCTGGAAATAATATATTCATCTTTGGGAACTGCATGAAGCCGCTGTAGCTGACGGCTTCCATATAGTGTATTGTGTATTAGAATTCAGCTGCGGCCAGATACATGTAATTTTGGATATGACCAGTTTCTTAGAACGGGGATGTCTTTCATTTTTGACATGGGTTTCCATAGCACCCTCTCACAAGTGAGCAACGGAATTGCGGGTGATTGATCGAGAGACCAAAAACTGTTTCCTTATCTCCCGGGCATATTTGTAAATTGTCAAAGTCCTCCGGGGGGGGGGACAGTCAATTATACAGTGCATTGCCAAATATCTGGAATGATAGAAAACTTCTTGTCAATGAGGGCTTCCCTAATGGAACTGAAAATTGGATTTAAAGTTCTCCAAAATGTAGTTTTCTAATATGTGGAACTCTGTTTTTTTACTCTTATAGTGACACCCCTTAGAGTGGCATAACAGCGGGATGGAATTACTAAGGGTTCACCGGGGGGAGCACTTTTTTTGCAGTTTGAGCAAAGGAACTGTGGCATGTATTGTATATATAGGTTGTGGGTAGGGGGACACGGAATGGCATGGGGGGAACGTGCCCCTTTGTCCCCATTCCCTCATCATACACACCCTCCCTCCAGTTTCGATATTTTAAATGTAAAATGCTCCATTTTTCTTCTTTTTTTAACAGAAACAAGAAGAGGAAGACAGATACCGCACAGCACCTTGATACTGGTATGATATAATTAGACTGTCAGGCATTCCTGAACCACATCATCACAATAGCACCAGCCAAATAATGGAGGAGTCATGGCTACTTTTAACTTGAAGAGGACAGATCTGTTTATTGGGCAAGTATCTGCCCTGAGCGGGATCAAGAGAGGGTGCAGTTTTCCTAGCAACAAAGGGTGTTTTAGGTGGGACTGCACTTCACTGGTTAATATTCACAGATGATTATGAAATGCATGTGTTACGGTCAAAGGGCTATCAACACTTGAACACTCCCCACCAATTTTGCTCTTTTCAACCAATGAGGAGATATTTCTGCTCGTGGCATCAGCTGGCGGCCTCGTGTATGGCCAGACAACTGAGTTGATATCGTGGGCAGCGTCCAACCTCATTCCCAGGGTATCAAGCAATTTGCTTCCACCGCTACCTGTGCCTGCTTGCTCTCCCTCTCGCTGAATCATTTGCATATCCTAAAATATTGGATACATATGTTAGTGAGGAATAGTCATGTTCTTGACCGTGCTTTCAATCAATGTTCATGATAGTGTGCAGTGCAATAACTCAGAGACAGTTCTTTGTAATGTGTTTGTTTTGTGATTTTTTCAGCCATAAAAAAGTTCAAATTTCATCCAACCAAAATGCATATCACTTTTTTTTTTATTATGGAGGAGGGGGATTGTTTAAAGGGGAAAGTCAATAAAATAATTCACACCAAATCTGGAAGCACATAATACGTGTACATGGTGAAAGTATAAACACCGAATGCATGGTGTAAAACATTTCCCCGCTGTTCCGGCATTGAATTGGGATACAGGCAGAAAGTTTCCTTTCCAGGTATTACTGCTGGAAACCAAGCTGGAAATGAAGTAATTGCTGATGAAGGCATGGAGTGAAGAAAGTCTTTCGTTTTTGTCAAACAACACTGTGCAATCTGAAATATATTGCTGGTTCATGACACACTGCTGTCAGGATTCACACTATCCACAGGGGCAATGTGTACGTTTGACACTGTTGGTAACTTTTGCATAAGCCATACCCTTATAAATGCAGTGTTGATGACACTCAGGGCATTCAAATTGATTCTGAAAGATGATCTCTGCATACATTAGAAAGTATAATATCGGTCATTCTTTATACTGTACTTGCTCAGATTTTCTACCAAAGTAACCCGAATAAATAGGCATAATTTGTATCTGTCCCATTATCTACAGTCGCCGTAGCTGGCTGCTGCATATGTGGCAGCTCTCCAGGAGATCCTATATACAGAGACATTGAAATCAGGTGTTTGATTACCAGGTTCAGAGCCACAATGATGAATCAAATAGCCTTTCATCTTCTGGATCTGGAAATAATAAGAGTGGAAAACACAGGCAATGTACAGCTGATTGAATGTTACGTTAATTCAGATTGGTGCATAGACTGTCACATGGGTGGTTTGTACCAGATGATAAAACGCGCTTGAGAATTTTAAAACCAGTTATTAAATACACTTGACCCCAGGTTGGGGCAACAAATATCTGCTCCTGTGCTATTGTTACTTTTAATAATAATAAGTCCTAACACAAAACAAATGAGAAAACTTTAGATTCCCTGAAGAAGCCAGTGCTTGAAATATCAATTACCGATATCATTAATGTTCTAAGTGAAGACCTTTTTCACATACACTGTCATTTAAAAGCATATTTTTAAGGGGATCCGAAATATATCTTCTTGATTGAGGATAAAGTTGCAGCTATGGTTCACGGTACAATAGGTACCTCTGTTTATGTTGCCTTTTGGATCTCAAAATATGAAAACACTGTTGTTGATGGGCATTTCCTTTGTTTTCGTGTATTAAAAATTAGTCTGTGAAGTGCAGCTTTCATGTTACTCCCCTTTGAACAGAATCACTTTCCTGGGTTAAAATTTCGACCAAGTACCTCTTATATAAATTATTTCAAATTGCACCATTAAGTACAGCTTGGATGTTCCCCCTTTTGGAGTAAATTCCAAATACATGTATCATGTATTTCGTGAAACTCGTGTAGGGTACCTCTAAAACACCCCACAGAGGTCCTTGTAGGGTGCGTGTGTACATTTGAAGTTAAATGGGGACCTTTCGACGTTAATGGACGTTTCATAAAGTTGGTGCGTGGCCTGTAGTGTTCTGCACAAGCCCGATGTACATTGTGAAAATAAAGTCACACAGCTAGGTCGCAAGACCTGCATATGATTCAACATAGGGTTAACACATCATGCCCTTGCTTTTGGAAGAATATTTATAACTACCACCCCCCCCAAACACTGGAATCAAAGTCTTGCAGGGCCATAGCCACGAGGGGGGGGGCACATGTATGCCCCCACAAATTTCCGGTGCTCCCCAGTTGGCCCTTCCCCCCACTAAAAAAAAACGGATAAATGGATACTGAACTAGGCTGACAAAAGTTTGTCCCCCCAAAAAACCACACCACTGAAAGCTGGTACCCCCATAAGATGCTTCCTATTAGAGTGCAAGCTTTTGAGCCATCTCCAGGTATGGCAGTCCAAACAAAACTAAATTTACGTAGCTAAGATTGAGAATGCAAAAGAAAAAATGTAAACTGGTAAAACGCATTTGGTTTCCTGTTTCGATTTCAATTTTCGCCAAATAATGACACTCTGCACTTGGCATGCTTTTTTTTTTTTTTTACATCAGAGGTCCATTTTTAAAGGATATTTTTACACGTCTCTTTCAAGGTTAGGGCCGTTCGTAATTTCAGATATACATGTATAGTGCTAAAGCGAAACGACTTTCTGCATTGGACGTTATTTAACGCTTGCAGCGAATTTTGCTCGAGTTGAAATGTGTGCAGCCTTAGCAAATTCGCAGCACCCTGGTTTTGTGATCTGACGCGGAAAAATGCGGGCCTGTCCACTTTTGCGCCACGTATGAACCAACCTATTGGCGATTGCCAGTTTCAAAAAATATGCTCGTATCCAAGGACTTTTCGGAGGTGATTTTCTGAATTAGAACCAAAGATGATTACGAATTCTGGTTAGTTGTTGCACGTCAAGGATTCTAGAAGTGCGTCACTAGGGATCAACTTCCTGGCTCTAATCAGCATGTTGGCCACTGAGGGATTATTTGCTTCGAAGATTCCATTTTCTGAAACCTCAACCCTGGGTATACCTGATTATATTTACACAAACTTCAAGATGTCATTATTATAATACATTCGAGAAAAAGTCCGTCCTATGGCGGATTACTGTGATTACTTAGGCTTTATTAGTAGCCTCATTTTGTCTCATTTGTTCATTATACTGTTGGACGGAGACTTGAGGGGAATACTGGTTTTTATCTCGAAGGTGCTCAGTTTCTGTATACATGCCGTTGTCGTTCCAGACTCAAATATCTACGATGTAGAAGCCGATGATGTACAGTTTACTACTGTAGGGTAAAAGAAGACATCCAACATTGTGCACTAAACATGTGATAATTATGCAACCAAGTGTTATCATAATATCGGGATTTTTAATGTTTTGAGCCATGGTATTGTCATTGGTTTATTTTTGGTTTTTATCCCGGTATGTGCCAAATTCCATGCTTTTTTCTTTTAGGTTTAAACCATCCCCTGTCCCAGAGCCCTAGTGTCCGCGCCGCGGATCTTCACAAGCTTCGGTACAAAAGGCTGTTCAAACGTCACAAAGCGTTGTAACTTACTACACCATCTTGGGACGTAGGCCTGCATATAAACAACATGCAGTGTATTATGCGGAAGTGTAGACCCCGGATAATCGAGCAAATCCGAGCAAATGCTGTCCATTTAATCGAGTTCAAAGAAACCATGTACTGTACATGTAGTAGCAATCAGTGGACACGTGCTCACATACTAAAAGGCGTGAGCACGAGCAAAAGCGGGCTTTATAAAAGTTCTTTTTGTCCCTCTCGCAATTCAAGAAACCACCTAAAAAATATGGTTTTAGTGTAACTTGACCACGGTGTGGTGCTACCCACGAAGTCATGTGAGATCATGATGAGTGTTTTATTATTTCTTTCCCTTTTGTTTCTTTTTGTTTATTTTCCCCGTTTTTTTTTTACGGTTGGTATTGTAGTAACTGAGCACCGTTGTGTTGTAATGAAACGAAACATTTTTCAAAGACAACTCATGGCACTCTTACTTGCAAACCTTATGGAAGGCATCCTGGAGAGATGCAACCACGAAGAGAATAGATGCATGGGAGTAAAGGCCCAGACTCGGGAAACAAAGGAAATTAGGAGAGGGATGAAAATCCAGTCCACACGCTGGCCTTCAAGAGAAGGATTCGGTCGTGGGTCAAGAGGTTGAATGTGCGGAGAGTGCAGGCACACCAACCTGACTCCGCAATCACCATCCTGACCAGTGGTTAAAGCTAGCCCTGGGCCGTTCTCCAATACTCAACTTCGTCTCCGTCTCAGACTTCGTTCCCAAAACCAATCCCCGATTGTGGGCCTGAAGCGTTCAAATTAAATTGGATTACTGTAATTTTTGGCTCTCTTGCATCTCATTTGATGTGTTGTGGCACTATTAGACTAATTACTGCGCTTACAGCTTCAAAGTCACCTAGTCAAAAAGAAACAGTTGAAGCCTGAGACGGAGCCGAAGTTGAGTATTGGAAAACGGCCCTGTAGTCGAATCCCCGGCATGAGATGGTTTATAGTTGATTTGGTTTGAGGGAACCAAGAAGACTTGACAACAAATACACGAGCACGATAAAAATCGTGTAGTTCATTCACCAAGTAATTTAATTTCACAGCTCATTACATCTCATACATTGACTGTATGTTGTTCGAATATCACATCGGCAGCGCGTGCTATTCTCTTCATGCAGTTGCACGGGTATTGGTTCTGTGGCAGTTCACAAGGGAGGAATTAGGTAAGCCTAGACAATTTTTGTTTTCTCTGAAATAATGCATTCCTCAATTTGTTGTCGCATACATCAATTCAAGACGGGTACTTTACAAAAGCGAAGAGCAGCAGTTTTAAGAAACTTACTGGATGTTGAGTTGAAATGACCTTTCTCAACAACGTCATGTGCTGGTGCTTCGTCTCACTCGGACGATGCTTTGATGCAGGGGCGTAGCGAAGGCATTGTCTTTTTGGAGGGGGAGTGCCAAAGTCAATTTGCTGACTTGTAACTTGCTTGCTAACCTCGTCTCGTAAAATGAAAAATCCGTGGTACGCTACATTTCGTACTTCATAGGAAATTCCAACGGCCAACATATATCGATATATATACCTGTTTTGGATTCATTTTCAGACCAAAGCGACTGGAATTACTTATAAGGGGTGCCACAGCTCCGGTCGCTACTCCCCTGGTTTGATGTCACTAACCGGGGCGGATCAAGGATTTTCAAGGGGGGGGGGGTGCGTGACCTAAAAATTTAGGGTCGTGGCCGTAAACTTTGAGAAGTTGTGTAACCGGAAGCAGAACTGCATGCCTTTGTCACATTATGAGTCCCTCCCGTTCTGTTTCTTCCCCTTTCCATTTTCATTCGCTCCTTATTTGTTTATGATTCTTTTGGTGAAAAAAAGAGGGGGCGTGATCCCTGGATCCGCTCCAAGCTTCCACTATTATGTTGCTGGTTAGAGTTCTCGAAAACACGCCTCAGTGCGCCCATATGCAACTCTCATCTGCATGCACAGATCAATGGAATTAAAGGGTTACAGAAATAGAAATATTTAGTTCACGTGAAGTATTTCAAAATGATAATAATACGTAACCATTTCAAAAACGTCATTAATTTAATTTTTACCCCATTATAAGTGACCGCAAAATGAATCGAAAGATCCTGCGTTTCCCTGGTACAAAAAATTCCCCTTTTGGCTGTTCGCGCTCCCAGGCCGCGTAAAATCCATAATTCAGTCACTTCATAACCTATTCGTGCCTGTTAAAAATCAGCCCTTTTATGGTCAAAAACAGTGAAGCTGTCAGTGAAAAAAATCACAGGTTTGTTTTTTATGCACACTATTGTTTTGAATCGTATGGAAGTAAATAGACTCGTCTTGTTTTGTTTTAATCTAGGCTATTTAAACACAAAGTGGAACCCATTTCAATATCACTTTTTTGGCTGCTGATGAAAAGCAAAACCATAACCCTGAGTAATAGAGTATACTGAGCCGAAAGTGCAACATAATAGGAGACTTTGAGACGCATGGTGGCGGCAGACAAATGTTGTGCGCGTGCTCAGAACTATTACACGCTTGCCTAGAAGGCATGCACTTCAGACACCAAAAACGCTCCCATAGAAAACAGTGCAAAATAAGACCGAAATAGCGCCGCCTCTTGACTCTTGTGAAGAGGTTGGCCTCCGTTTTTTCACTGGAAATTCAAAGTTATGGCCAGAAGATCACTTTTCATTTTCCTGGGGTTAGCCACGAAAATGTTTTTATTCGCCTTTCATGGAAGATATCCCAAAATAACAGTAAAACTTGGCGCTCATTTCTGAATGTACCCGCCCGCCTCAATATCCAAAATAGGCCCGTATTTTTGGGCTTTTTGTGAAAGAAATACCCTAAACTGGAAACTATCAGTCCCAAATTCGGGATTTATAGAAATATTTCTATGATCCCTCCTGATACTGGTCTGTCTTATTATAAAAATCCCGTGGGATCACAACATATTAACGAGCTCGCGCGCAGAAATACGAGTTGGTGGAATGCGCCCAGAATTGCACGCGCATGCCCACAAACATGCGTCTTAAAGTCCTCCATTTTGAAAGAATGCGATAGGAGTGTCATTCTATTGAAACACCACATGTTTTCCCTTACTAAAACCCCTCATTGGTCGTCAGTTTTGAAAAGGGCGACAGTTTTGTGTCGACCTATTCAACTCTGTCTCCATAACCCACCGGAATGACACATTTGTAACGCAAATGTAGAATGACGGGTAATGTATTAGTGTAACACCAAATGAGTCCTGAAATACCCTTCACTGAATTGCAGAGCGAAGCTTGGACTCAAATGGGACACAGTGCCTTGTTTAAAGAAAACATGATTTTATTTAAAAAAAAGTCTTGTCCTAAGAGAGAAGCTGGCGCCGAGTGCATGTGCTTTTCGGAGATCAGATGCCTTGGACGCGTGAGTAAGGAATTTAGCACACTGGGGGTTCAGCTTCCAGTGAAGTATCGTTCCACTGTGTTTTTTAACTCCACAGATTAAACGTTTTGGTTTTGTGCTGTCGAACGCAGTGTGCTTTGAGCATCAAAATTATTGTTATCAAGCAGGGTTTTATTTAGCCGTCTCACACATGTATTAAGGCCGTCAATTAACACATATAAATCACACGATAGTCGTGATTTTTCACTGCTGGTACTATACCTGTGGTGAAAAATCACGATTACTCGACAATACAGTGTGCGTGTATGTAGCAAGCTAAATCTTCACACGCGGACCGCTCCCTCCAACGTGCTCACGAGTACGACAGACTAAATGCAGTTAAGCTACGCACTTGCACAGTCTGGTGCAGTGGGATTATTAACGATGTTGCCTTTTCCAGAACTATTGGGGGTGCTGTATATGAAAATTTCTCCACGAAACCCTCTACGGCTTTCCTGATAACGGAAGGAACTGGATTTTTACACGCTTTTATAAGGAAAGTAAGTCGGAAAATCCCCGAAATTAATCGCTTTTCACATTTAAAAAAAAAAGTTTTCTGTGGGGGCACGGCCCCTGTTTTCCAACCCCCAGATCCCAAGCTGCTAGCAAAAACCTATTGTGCGTTGAAAGACGTTAATTAGTTAAAGCATCAAATTACGTTAAGGTTATATAGACTAGAAGTTACAGTTATAGGCCTAATCCTGTTAATTGTGCGCTTTTATACAAACTGTTTCACGTAGTATAACGTTTCGGTGCGTACATGTGACTAAATCAAATTGTCACCAATAAAAGAGGTAAGGAACAAGTCGGACATGGAACAACTTCTCTTAGTCTTACTGTTACAACAAGTATTGGATTTTTACGTCACTTTGTCCTACGGTTAAGTGTAGATAACACTAGAGAAGAACATAATGATAAAACTGTGTCAGTGTGTTTTAGTGCATTTCACTGCGAACAAACATGCAGAGTAAATCGCATTTATTCTTGGCAAGTTAATTCTTGTGATCTCTCCTGCAACTGCTGTATATGAGATGACCTTTATTCAAATGTCTTCGCCTGGGCAAGGTTGTTCTTGATTCGGGTATAGCGTTTCAACGCAGACTGCCGCGTGTTATTGGAAATCGATTTGCTTGCGCTCCCACATCCATTCAGCTTTGCAGCTAAGTTGAGGTCGGTGTTCTTTTTAAAACTACTTGAGAATAAGCTGTAAGTCTCATTTAGGCGTGGATGAAAGCAATACTCTTCAAACACAGTGTGGTATTTTAAAGTGCTGCCCGTTGCAAGGATGTTTGCCGTTGCTGTGATCAATGCTGGGAGGTCGCGTGCGAACGCTTTCAGTCAATTCTGGACAGACATTCACCGGTTTGAACGTCTTGTAAAGTGTGTGTATTGTATAAGTTACTGATAATTGTGGTTATGCAAAGGAATTGTAAAGCACAGGTTTCTTCGTGTCTACCTGCGAATTGGATACGCTACTTCCAGACATGATTCTGATTAGGGAAGGGGGCCTTTGTTTCGCCTTATGCCAAAGAAAATCAGTGTAGTTGTACACATTTTCCGAGGTTGTCCTGTCGGAAATAATATGATGCAGGCATATAAAGTTTTTTGAGATAATTACTTTAGGATAGGACCAAACGGGAGGAGAATCTTAGTATCGGCCGAGGCCAACGTGACCGGCTTTGGAATTTCGGTGATTCCTTTGTCAGCGTGCCCGTTCAATCATTCGTGTTGGCGTGGAATTTCACGGAATTCGGGTCGATTCGAGTGGAAAACGAACAGGGTTTGCTTAAGTGGATGGTTGCCATTATCTTGAACATTCATCGAGCGCTTGAATCACCAGGAGGAAATCAGACAACTTTGAAGTGGTATTGTAATAAAAACTCAACGATGTTGATTATGAAATTCGTTGATTCCTTCTTTTTCAATGTGGTTGCTGTTTAGAAGTGCATTGTGGCATTACTGAAATAGCACCCGACTGGCTATATAATGCATTCGATGCTTGCACTGAGAACCCGAGCTACATGTACATGTACGTTTACATTCGTTTGTGTAATGACACTGCGGGGGTTCCTAGTCGTCCCGTATGGCTTACTCGAAATAGACATACATATAGAATAAATAGACATACATATAGAATAAATAGACATATAAATAGACATAGAAGCAATGGATATTCCTTCAGCTATGTAGGTTCCCATTATCAATCTCAAGGAATATTATAGATGTGTATGGTTCACGTTTGAAATGCGTTTAAAATTTCGTGTAAATCTTTAGTGAATTTCGTTTCTGTCGATTTCATCGGAGGGTTTAGTGATGATATTCGATTCCTGACAACCTTGTGCAGTTGTGAGCTATTTGTGAACTGCTGATGGATGCGGCAGGCAACGGCTGTCCGGAGGTGATAGCAAGTTGCACCAGTAGGGAAAATGCGTGGGGAACGCGGTAATACGAGCGATTCACAACAGTGCGCCTCCAAGAGTTTGCAACGCGTTGGCCAATATCGCAACGCGCGAAATTTATCAACCTTATCCAAACGCGCATTGGGGCGACAGATTTTGCACCTTGTGATTGGCTAACGCGTTGCAAATTCTTGGAGGCGCACTATTTTGAAACGCCTGTATTGCTAAGCTGGGATCGGGAGGAAGGTGTGAGGCATGGTCTAGTACTCGGACTTGCTTGGACCGGGAGAGCCCACGCTTTGCGCCGGTCCCATGGCCTTAACCTGGCGGATCTCACTTCCCCAAGCAGACGTAACCATGCAACGGACATTGGGTATCGCCGATGAGGACATGGTCATTTCCTGCAGCGTAGTAGACGCCGGGATGGCCCTGGGCTCGACCCTGTTGCCGAAGACGATGACGTACAGCTTAGAGATGTAAAGACATACCAGGGAGAGGTAAGCGTTGAGCGTCAGAGCGAGGCTCATGCTGGCCACTTTTGGAAGCACCTCGTTGGTGGAGGTGTAGACAGGAACCGCTGCAACGCACAGCACCAGCGTGGTGTACACGCTGACGCCGATGAAGCGGGACTCGTTGTAGTTGTCTGGCACCTTGCGCGAGAGGAACGCAAAGAGGCAGCAGCCGACGATGATGGTCAGGTTGAGGAGGCAGGGCGCGATGAAGCCATATCCGAAGGCGCAGAAGATCTCGCTGTAGTTGCCCATGTCGAGCGTGTAGAGAGTTGAGGGGGCAGAAGGGCTTACCGTAGCAGACACGATCGACATGATAAGCTGAGGAACGGGAAAGTAGGAGACATTCGTTGTTTTTCTTTATTGTGGGAAAAAGGGAGAGAATCAATTGAAAAGTAAAGCTACCCTACCCAACTGATACATTAAAAACTCAAAATTTTCCCCATACTCATGAGTCTCGCTTTTAGTTTGTGGAACTGATGTGGTGAAAATGAAGCTTTAAAACAAAGCTGTGTACATGCACAACTCAGAAATCTAGCACTGATATTTGATTGAAATGTCAGTCCTTGACATTCACTTTGTAACATGTACACAGTCATTTGATTCGATCGATCATAATGTTTGTTATGATTTCCACCCTTACCTGTGAAAACATAATTTCAGGTCTACTTACCTGGGCCACAATGATGGTTATAACTATTGCGACTTGAGACTTGGGCGATGTTAACCTCGGTGGCTTGTTTGTCACCCTACCCATCTTGAATATACGTTGGATCCTGATCACTTTCAGGAGGGTGGGCGCGTAGGACATGGTGAAGCTGATGCTGATGAGGGATTCCGACGCAATACAGCCCTCGACACTCGGTGTAGCCGTGAGAAGCATGATGGCAGCGCCATAGGACAGCATGAGCCCCGCTAGGTGGATGGACGTCAATTCGCGGCTTGTGGCCTTAATCAGCGGGTGTTTGTGTTTAGCTACCAAACACAGGCCGGTCAGCAGGCAGCACACCATGCCAAAGATCACAAGGCTCAGCACGCTGGCCAACACCGGGTTTTTCAGTTGGATGCTGGTGGGGACGATGGAGACACAGGTCATAAACTCCTTGTCTGGCCAGTGGGCTCTCTCACAGGGAGAGCACACAGTGCCGTTCACGACGATACTGTTGTCTGGGCAACTGATGCAGTCAGAACAACAGCGTTGTCGTAGAGTGGAGATGGCATAACCCGGAGGGCAGTCTACTCGGCAGGTAGACCGTGGCCTACTTGAGTTATTGTTGGGCCACTGGATTATACCGTCTTGGATCCACAGCCGAGGCGCGTTGACCGCATCCCACAACCCGACATCCACCATGGTGTACTTTCCGTTGTGACGTTGCCAGTTGGACACAACGTATTTGCCTCTCCCGTCGCCATTAGAATCAAATGAGACTTGACCATACGGACCTTCGAATTGGACGTTCTTTAAAGTGTGTAAAAGCGATGTCCCGTCCATCTGCTGGCGATTTTTAGACCGGCAAAGTTCGTCGGTGCAGTTCTGTCTTAGAAGGGTGTCCATGGCGTGAGCAAAAGCGTATACTGAATTCATGACCAATCCTTCGGTGTTACCACGATCGAGCGGGCATACAGATAAGTTGGAACAATGCCGAGCTGATAGCCACTCATGCGCAAGTTCCTTAAACCACGGACTCGTGTCAGGCGAAAATGGATCTAGAGAAGCATAGTACTCACCAAAAGCCTTCACCGTGGGTCTGTAGTCTCTGACGAACAAGGCACCCGTAGCTACGTCTTCCAAATGATCTGCAGAAAGTCGGTAACCCCAGTGGGTGGTACCAAGCCACACGATGCGTCTCAGACCAGACTCTTTCGCAGCCCTCAGCACGGCTTGGGCCTCGTTCTTGGCGCCAAATAAAACCACCACGTCCACTTTGCTGTGGGTCTGCAGCTTCTCAATGGTGTTCTGCAGCTCATCGTCACTTGGGAATTCACGCATGGGAGACAAGAAGGCCACGCAGATCCCCATTTCTTCGGCCTGCTCCTGCAGGGCGAATGCACCTCGAATTCCGTCACTTTCCAGAGAGTACAGAAGAGCGATGTACTCCCACTCGAAGTGGAGCACCACATCTAGAATAACTTTGACCTGTAGGGTGTCCGGGGGGTAAGTGCGAAGAAAATACGGGTAGGAACTTTTGTCACTGAGCTCGTCGCTAGACGCAGCGTACGACACAACCGGCACTTGGAACATCGACGCCGTCTTGGCAACGAAGATGCTGGTCCGGCTGAAACCTGTGCCGACGATCCCACTGACGGGGCCCGCGTTCTGTGGCGTACAATCAAGATACTCCGGAAAGGACTTGCTGATGTTTTGAATGAACGAGAGGGTTGTCCACATGGCCACTTCCTCTGATCTGCAGTCATCGCGGATATCGTAGCCCAGAGTCACGTTGGCGAGGAGATCATCGCGACGGTTGATTTCATTGATGGAAAAAATCATAGCCTCCGACAGACGAACGGCCCACGGTGAAAGTCTTCCACCACATGGCGCAGGTTGGCTGACGAAACGTAAAGGGAAAATGCCCCCCAGTACAATGTCCCCCAGCTGGTAATGTGACATACACGTCTTTGGCAATACTCGAACAGAGTGGACGTTGCACATTACTGCAACTAGGATAAGTAAGAATACACCCCAGCGTGCAGACATATTCGTCTTTAAGAAATATCACTAGAGTTATATATATTGTGAAAAACCTATGCCAATATCTAGTGAACTTGTTTTGAACTTTGTAGGCATGCAGCTTTGTGTATACTTTGCTGTTAACTGTGAGCCAGAGGCGACGCCATAATACATACTCGAGAGTCAGACAACAAACAGATCCGCAGCAGAAGTGACTTATATCAGGACGTGTATTTGTACTGTTGCTTTTCCCAATTCTTTACTTTACGGCACGTTGCAAAGACAGACACTCGTACGCATGCGTTCACTTCCAACGCCCAAACAGCTGCAGCAGAACGGAGAGGCAGTGAAATCCGACCCTCAATGAGGGAAGATTTTTTTTCTTGTATTAGGCATATAGTATGTCAGATCACACTCACATTGTGCGCATGTCTTCGTAGGCATTTTTGATAGATTTTTTTGCCTGTCGCCAACTGAATTATTGAAGCGACTTGTGATTTTCCACAGGCCCTCGGCAGGAAGGTACCGAAAAAATGCATTGCTTTGTAAATGAAATATGGATTGAGTGTCGTGTTCAACGAAGTGAAAAAGAAAGACTCAATCTGTCACCGAGTGCGATCATTTTTTTACTGTACAAACGTGAAATTTGCAAGGATGAATTTGCGCCGGGGAGATATTAATTGATTTTTTTCAAATATTCTTTTAAATTGAAATTTAGTTAATTAAAAATAAAAATAATAGAAATTAAAGTTTGAAAATAAACGTGAAATTATTAGCACCCCTGAATACATAATTTGTAAAAGTTGTGTACATGTCGCCTTTTACTTGCATTGTCTGTCTGCTCTCCATTCTGATTGGCAAGAATAATGGTACACAGCATAATAATGAATGTTTCTGAGTGCAATGGTAAGAATAACTTTATGAGGTGACTGGTAAAATATTCTATTCCGCTAGACGTCATTTTGAACTCGAACCAGGAAGTGTAGAGGATTTTCAGTCACTTGATTTTGGACGGTAAGCGTTCAATTGTAATACATAGGCTAATTATGTATATTATTATTCTAGCGTACATGAAATGGCCAAGATTCGATTACACTGATTCGCAAATGCACACGGCTCTACGGACATGGTACGCGTTATGAAATGCCTTTGCCCTTCATGTTACGTCACATAAAAAGCCTCTATAGCGCAAACAAAATAATGGAGTACGCGTGTTGGTTCACGCACTGTTCTTGCGCAAGTGCCTTTAAAGCCTGATGTCCATAACGACGTAAGACACGCAGAGAGCAAAGCAATCAAGACACAACTGCAACGCAGACATGTGGAAACGTGTCAAACGGAGGTGTCGCTGACAACGCAGACAAACGCAAACCAGCCCGTGGTATCCCCATACAAACACGCATGCTGGCATGGCTGGCGTGCAACGATGTCCCTGTCGCTTAGTTCCACGAATTTCGCTCATTTTCTCCATAATGCTTTAAAAATATTACACTCAAGCTTGACCAACAGAGGGCGCACTTATCCTAGCAACCGTGGGGTATCCTAGCAAGGGGTGGGGTTACACAGGGAGCGCCCACTCCCCGGACTGTTCCCCATGTTCCCTCTCTCATAAATTAAAAAAAATAGTAATTGATAATAATTCGCCCTGGTCAGTGTTTTAATTGTGAAAGTTGCAACTTTACCCGTCAAAAAACAGATATATGAAAAATCGCTGAGCAAGATGCCAAACCGTCAAATGCAGTGGCCGTCACAGCACCCAGAATAGAGGGCGGGTTACCGTGGGGAACAATCCCTGCTTCCGCCGGTCAGATCCCAAGTTTGTTATCTTTCAGCAAACTCAGAAACATGTTGTCAAAGGGTTGCCCCCGTATTGCTACATACTTACTGCGTAACACAGCTAAGTTGGGCCAACCTGTGAATGTTGACAAGGTAAAAGAACTTGCCTTAGATGACATAACTATTGCATGGAATGGCTCTTACGAACTAAGCATGAAACGAAGTGAGGAATTGAAAAGGGGCCTCAATCCAGTGTATCGGGGTCTATGCTCCCGCAGGACTCCCGTCTCTGATGAGCTGTTCAGAATAGACCTGAATAATGCCATGAAACAGGTAACTGAAGGCCGGTTAAAAAGTGACTTCGGAGGAGAAGAAACCTCAACTTTCCTATCGCCGCCGTTACACACCTTAAACATGTAATAAACACCAAAGATTAATCGGCAAAGACTCGTCCGCACTATGGCGAAACCTGCGATGGAGATAGGCACTACTGGCGTGCATCTTATTGGGGCTCTCAGATGTCCCAACCAGGTCGTGGACGACCCATGTTGAATCAAAAGCCCACCAAACCATCTACAGTAACTAGGCCTGCATCGGAAAAAACAGATATGTAAAATTGGATCTGCTTCCATCTCCACCGGCTGGGGCCGGGAGACTTAAATGGCATTAAGACAATTGGTCTCAAATCACTCCAGATCGATGGATTCTGATCACTGTATCAGGATGTCAAATAGATTTGGTGAGTTGTCCTGTTCAGACCTCGTCAGAAAAAAAATTCCGAACGAGAATCCCTCATGATTAAACTGAGATCAGTGAGCTTTGGCTCAAAGGAGCAATCAAAGAAATCCCTCTGGGAGCATGCCGCTTGGTACTCGGCATATTCCTGATACCGAAAAAGTCGGGTGAATTGAGACCAGTTATTAATTTGAAAGATCTCTATAAATTTGTTGTTTACGAACACTTCAAAATGGAGGGCTTAGGATTTGTGAAAAAAAATCCAAGATAACGACTATCTTACATCGATAGACTTGGAAGATGCATATCTCTCTATCTCGATGTCTGAGAAAGATCAACCTTATACCTTTGTTTCTCATGGGCAGGAAAGATTTTCTGCTTTACTTGTTTACCGTTTGGCTTATCTTCGGTTATGAGGCCGGTAGTGGCCTTGGCTTGAGGTCAAGGTATACGGTTGGTCATTTACTTAGATGACATACTCATCTTCTCTTCTTCAAAAGAAGAAATCTGGCGCAACACTGCCTTAATGATAAGTCTATTGCATGCTCTTGGGTTGGAAATGAATTTCAAAATATCTTCCTTGATCCATCCCCGAGACACGATTGACGTACTTGGGATTTGCGATCGATTCATCTTCCATGACACTGCAACCCCTAATCTAAGGTGGAAAAGACTACGTACGAATGTTGAAAATTATCGTCAGAAATTGGTAACTATTCGCTTACTGGCTACATTTAAAGCTTTCCATCAAGGTAAACTTCATTACCGACAGATGGAAGTTGCTAAAGCTAAAGTACGTCAAGCAGAGTCGGGCGATTTTGACGCCCTTATTGGTACCACACGTTTTTTGAAAAAAAAATCAGTAGTGGATAACTGTTCCTTCAGAGGAAATAAAATGTGGTATTAAATTACCACATATTGCTATCGTTATCTCTACAGATGCCACTAATCAGGGATGGGGAGCAGTCTGTGAGACAGACGACTCCTACGAACAGGGTAAGTGGAATGGCATCCACAGAAAGCTTCATGTTAATGTTCTGGAGCTCCTAGCTGTGTAAAATGCCCTTTTTACTTAATGCTCAAGCATTAGTAATGCACATGTCCTCACCAAATCTGATAGAAGTACAGCTGTACCGTACTTGTCAAAAACGGGTGGAACTATTGTTTCTTCAAACCAGGTGACAATCAAGATATTTAATTAAGTAGTGTTTCCAAAGGGATATTCACTTAATTGCAACGCACGTTGCTGGGGAATCCAATTTCCGAGCCCAACTTCTTTCTCAAACTCGAATAAAGAACTATGTCTCAAAGTAGTACTCTTTGATCGAATTTATTAAGCACACATTCTGCCCTGATGTTGACCTTCTTACTTTGTGCAAAAATAAAAAAAAAAGGGAAATGTCTCTTGGAAAAAAGATGCATTCGCATTGGCTATAGATGCCTTTACCCTTTCTTGGTCTAGCTTTACCCCTTACATTTTTCCACCATTTTGTTTGCTATCTAGAATCCTGGACAAGATTTCCAGAGGAAAGACAGACTCATGTCTGCTGGTTGATCCCCTATGGCCAACCCAAGCTTGATTCCTCAAACTACTGTTAATGTGTGTGTCACATCCAATTCAATTCCCAGAGTCGGCTCCAGACCCACCTTGGGAAGTCCATCCTCCGAGTTAGTCTGAGTCAAGTTAGCCTCTTGGACCATCTCAGGCAACAACGGGAAGCACATGGGGGCTTTCGGAAGATGTTTCCAAACTCCTCTCCAATTCTTGTAGGCAAGGCACAGAAAAATAGTATGAGTCTGAATGGAAATATTGGGTTAGCAGGTGTAATAGAAGGGAAATCAATCCTTTTGCGCCACCTGAACTAGATATTGCTGATTTCCAGGCTCAGCAGCATTCAGATGGAAATTCATACTCAACTATAAATCTTCATAGGTCAGCTTTATCAGTGACTTTGCCTTTGGCTGGAGGTCAGCCATTGGGCAACATCCTATTATTTGCCGCTTTCTAAAGAGGTTTTTAACTCCACCACCAAAACCGAAGTACTAGAAAACGTGGAAAGTATCAAAGCTCTTAGACCACATTTCAAATTTACTTGACAACAGTGATTTGTCGTTACCAAAACTCAGCGAAAAATGTCTAAGCTTACTGGCTGTTGTTACGGCACAGCGAACTCAAACGCTCGCTGCTCTTGACATCCAATATTTTGATTCCTCAGATGACAAATGTATTATTACGATAATGAAATTACTAATGACAATTTGTCCAAAGAAACGTATCCCCATGATACACTTACTTTGCGAGCCTTTAAATCTAACAGTAAATTATGTGTATTTTGTTTTATCAACTCTAAGAGAGTATCTTGACAGAACGAGTTCAATTGGAGATTCTACCACTAGACTGTTTATTTCAAGTATTACATAAAGCTGTGTTTACTGTTGGTCTGGCAAGATGGATGAAAAATATACTACAGGCCGCAGAGATGGACACAAATGTCTGTACCGCTCATAGTTTCCGAAGTGCTTCAACTTCAACTGCTTTAGCTCAAGGGGTATCGCTTAATGATATACTTCACACAGCCAAATGGTCTAATACCAGTAACTTGGCGAGGTTCTACAACAAAATGATAGATGGTTCTAAATTCGTATCCTCAGTTCTAAGTGCGGACTAAAAGGAAGTAGCACATCTGCTCCAAGTTTATTCTGGTTTTGACTTTGCCCCAGATGAGGGCTCGTTACTTCTGTGTTGTATGTGAAAGGTCAATTTAATTTAAGATCATCCATCGAAGGCG